AAAAATCTGGTAATTCTTTGTTTTTACATTCATCGGGCCCCAATCAGCCCAAATATCAAAGAGAAATTAAAAATGCATGTCGTGGAAGAGTTCAGGTCTTAGGAGGTTAATTTTGTCATTTTAATTTTTTGGCCATTATACATACTGATATCAGCAGAGAGACAAATAGCTAAAATTGGCTGATCATATCGACCAGCTGACATATCGATCAGGCTGTAGTGTGAAATCTGTTATTGTTGTTTAATATTTTTAGATTGATTGATTGTATATGTGACTTAAGAAGCATTCCTGCTAGGTTATTCTGCCTGTACTGGCTCAGGACCCAGTTTGGAGCTGCACAAGGAAGATGCAAAACATCACCACAAATAAAAACAACAGAAAAAATGTGAGCTAGAAAATGTAAAAAGATCATTTAAAAGCTTTCTTTAAAAAAAAAAACTATTTTAAAGTTGAATTATAACCAATAAATGCTCAGTTACAGCCACAAGCAAATTCATTGCTTCCATATATCTTTGTATGCACTTGCATGTATGTGACCACCATGTGTATATATATATATATATATTTTTTGCCCACATTTCCTCAGACAAACTTAATCAGGACACCTAGCTAGGACATTGGACGAGCAAAGGCAAAGTGTGTCACAGTCACGCACACACACACAGACCTACATGTACCCCTGCACACATCAGGAAATCCCCTCAGTCCTCTCAGTTTATGTGGGCATCAGCGGCGGGAGGAGGATCCCTCTTAGGCAGAGAAAAAAGCTTGCGAGTGTACGGAAAGGCATCATCAAATCCAAAGCCATGTCACAGTGAGCGGTGAAACTGGGCCAGCATGCTTCTGAACAGAGTCCTCAGTGTGTTGCTGCTGTGAATTTGAGCCAAGCTTAGACAGGACAAGGTTAGGTCTGGCCTGAATGGTAATAAGGTCAAGCTCTGTCAGTCGGTTAAAATGAATAATGACACTTGGGACGTACCACTCCCCTCTTAATGCTGTAAATTTTTCTCATTAATGATTATATTCTAAACAATATCAACTCAAACTGATGCATCTCAGGAGAAAAAAACAGCGCTGCAGTCCTTCATTCATAAACCAATAGTTATTTTGGTTGTCAGCTCATGTTCCTCGCTGTTATCGTAAACACGAAGCAGCAATGCGTCTCATTTATAAAACACCGTCAGTCATACTTTGTGTCAGTGTGGGCATGTGTTTGTGTTTGTGTGAGCAAAGCACTGCTGCCTGGAAATTACAAAGGATGCGGGGCGCAAGCATCTCAGTGTGCAAAAAGCATATGCTAAACAGCATGGATTTTATTTTTTGCCACAAGAACAGTCTCTAGTGACTGAAGCCCCACTGAGTGACAGATGGTAGTGGCAGGTAACGTGCATGTGGGTCAGTGTGCCTGTATGTGTGTTTGTACGAGTGCAATTCAAAGCTTCATAGGGGACAGCTATCGTTATATAGAGCCTCTCAGCTCGTATCGTTACATGAGATGGCTTTCTAAAACAACTTAAGGTCCCCAGAATGCTTTCTTTGCCATCTTATTCATATCCTCGAATAGATGGAGATGTTTCCAAGTTTGCATCTCACTCTTTGTTTTTCTCTTTAGCTCTGCACTCTGTAGTGTACTATGGATTTTCAATAATTAGTTTGCATCCTTTAATGAGATATTTCATATGAGTTTGTCCTCTTTAAGAGTCCAGAGGCATTGAGGTAAAAGGTGAAAGATATCCTATGTAATCCATTATGCAAATAGCCAAAGAGCTTCCCGTGTGCGTGTGTTTCGTTCATTATCTCACTGAGTGGAAATCAATCATTTAAGATCTGGTTGATGTTTGGTGTCCATGGAAACTATGCAGCCTCATATTGACGGCTGATGAAGGTAGACTGAGACGAACGAGACAGAAAACAGACATAAGCATTTACAGTCATGGCGCAAAGAAAGTAAACCTTCTTTAACTTCTAAGGTTTTACGTATCGAGGCATAATAATAATCTAACAAAATACAAAAACTTAACTGTCATTATTTATTTAATGATAACTAAATAAATAAATAAAACTAAATGCTGGATTCCTTCCATTACTGCTTGTTTTGCAGCCACAGGACCTGAGCGCTTTAGTAGGCGGATGAGTTCATGGTCGAGTCACTGACTTCAAAGTATTCTAAAATCAAATGTGAGGGCACCTGTGTGACAGATAAAGCTCTGCTTAAACTGGGTCATGGAACAGGACTGTGATCACAAACACAGCAGCAATTCAAAGATTCACCAGAATGACTGGAACAAAAAAAGAAAAGAATCAAATTGTTGCAGTGACCCAGTCAGAGTCCAGACCTCAACCTGGGTTAAATACTGTGGTGGGATTTTATTCCCACAAACCTCAATGACCTAAACAAGTACAAATAGTAAGACATAATTCCTCCACAACAATGTGAGAGAACGATAGTCATAGAGAAGATGATTTTATGTACTGATACTGACAAATTTACAGAAGGTGTACTTTGTTTTCGACTGTACTTGTTAATAGCATCATATATAATATTTAGAGACACAGCTCTTAAGCCTACACCGGGCAGATTAATTATCACTTTCTAATATTGATTTGGAAATTTAGACCAAGGGTAGAAGACCTCAAAATGATCTGAGGATTCAAAATAAGAGGCACGATCACACATAATTTTAGATTTACTACAGTAAAGCTAAAAGCAGTGGAATGTGATACTGTTGTATGTCCTCAACAGTTGAGGTTTATCTGAAACCATCTCCTTCATCGGGGTGGCTGTATATCTAACACCGAACACTCTGTCAGTCTTCATTCAGATGAAAGAGAGTCAAGCTTTTATCTGCATTTACAGCAGTCTCACTGTTTCCTAAATGGAAATAAGATTATTCTTGTGAGGGTTTTTTGAGGGTTTTAGATGTCAGGGTAAGAGCCGAGTAACAAGCCAGCACAACCCTATTTGCAGCTGCGTATCTCACAGTAGCAACATCCTGAAATAATAAATCACGTGTGTATGAGTGTGTACATGAGTGTGTTACACTGTTCCCTACTGCTAATATTAGAGTGACCCAGCAGCCTTCTCCTATTCTAGTTTATTTCTCTCTTATGTTTTTAGCTTTCTCAGATGTGTTGTTTGAGTGGAGTGGGGCAAAAATACACATATTTGTCAGCACACACACACACACACATCTTCCAGCTGATTGAATTGATGGTAAGATTGTTTGGGTAGGACAAGGTGGCTAAGGTTAGTCGATTTCCTCCACCAACACTCCTGTTGAACGATGTGTGCAGTAGCATCACAGTAGCTAGGCTAATACACTTTTACCTCCTGTTCGTCTCTATAACCCGGAAATGTGTTCCAACTGCGTTGATGTTTGCATTTAACAGCTAAAGGTGGTCACATTAATCTCACTGCGTGTTTGCCTTAGACAACAGGCTTCATCTCCCCTACGGGCAACCTGTGTGTACATACTGAGCGTATTTGTGCATTCTTTGTGAAAGTATGTTTGAGTGTGTGTTCTTAGGCAGGCAGGTATATCTTGTAAAATGAATAAGAGCTACATCTGGTTGTCTGATTGCATAATTCCTGTGTTTGTTAAACAGGCTGACTGTTTAATGTCTTGCTGTGTCAAATAAAACCTTTGATTAATACGGCCTCATTGCTTAGAAACAATCATTTTTCCTTGCTGCAGGACCCATACATCTTTGAGCCCAACTGCCACATGGAAGTGGACGAGTACGGCTTTTTCATCACCTGGAAGAGTGAGGGAAAGGTACGACTTCCACATCATGACCTGTGTGTATTCTAGGAATTTCGAGAGGATCCTCTAAATAGAAATGTATAAGACAGGATCCACATGGAGTAGGGAAAGTATTTAAAAAGGCATGCAAGGGAAGAGTTAGTTGTTTTGATTTTTTTCTGTACTTCTGACCATTTGACTCTGAAAAAGGTATATGCAAGTAAATAAAAACTCTATAAATGAAGCACGTTAAATATATGTATATTATAACAAGCTTAAAGTGTAAGTACTAGCATTTAGGCAAATACTGATTAGCATTGGGCAATAGACAATGTTTATCAGATGTTTATCCGATAGTTGGATTAATTTGTTGCAGATATGTTCAGTAGCTCTTGTTGGATGATTTTAAACTAGCTAAGATGAAGCCTAGCACACAGGACCTACAGCTGGCTGTGCGAGTACTAAAAACTGCAGTTTAGTGTTTAGTGAGTACTAAAAACTGCAGTTTAGTGTTTAGTGAGTACTAAAAACTGCAGTTTTTAGTACTCGCATGGTCTCATTTTCCAGCCACTGGATTATAACATTCCTGATTTTTCTTTGCCACTGTCTAAAAACCTCTATGACGTGCATCTGAAGTCCCTCTACTCGGAAAAATAACTCTGATTAGGATGATTTGTTTTCCCATTTAGTGGTTTTAGAAATAGTTCGGTGGCACACTATTTGTGTATTTCTCAGAAAGTTCCGAAAATATACAAGCATGCACCGAATTTTCATAACTTCCATTTTACTGCTAAAATTTTGCACATCTTGCAATAATTTCCTCCCCCAGAGTTACAAATAGACTAGCAGCATTCATTTCATGCACACCTTCTCCTGAGTCAGGTTGGGCCCCAAAGGTGATCAGGCCTCTTCAACTGATGTTACAAACTGCGGCAGTATAAGTTTGTCTGTTCTCGGGAGCCCGCCAATGTGCTGGGACCCCAAGCAGCTGCATGCCTGGTGGCAAAAAGCACCTCTGCAACAGTCCAACCTGTTAATATGTTTATCCTCATTCCTGCAGACTCAAACTTGGTAATTAAATCAAATGGTGTGAAAACAGCTATTCTCAACGCACAAAGGACTCTTCCTCATTTCTGGGTTGTAATCACCCATGTTGCTGAGAGGTTGTGGTGCTTGTCCTTTGCTGACCATTAGAAATTGTTTTTCTTCTAGACTTTTATTCTTCATCTACTTCTTTTTTCCCTTTCTTTCCATCGTTTTTGGTCTCCTACAGGAAGGTCAGGTTCTGGAGTGTTCTCTCATCAACAGTATTCGCGTCGGTGCCGTCCCAAAGGTAAGAACTCAGGAGAGACCATTTCTTCACTTCTGCCTTCACAAAATTCACACACTCACCCTCCGCATCAAACACTCCATCTTTTAGTCCCACAGAGGCACTCCCGGTAAAATCTAGAGACACTGCCACTTCAGGCTATTATTCATGCCTAAATTAGCCAAGGCTACAATGGCTTTTTCTATCAATATAATGACTGTTTTGGGACTCCCGGTTGAGTTCTTACTGCTGAGATTTGCTTTCAAATACAGATTCACACAGGGCACTAGCAGAACAAAAACATGAAATATTCAGCTCATCAATATTTATACAACTCTAAGTTTCTCCACAGGTTCTTACTGAACTTCCTCGCAGCTGTGGATTGTGCTTTTGACCGAGAGAGTAGTATTGAAAAATTGTTCTTTCAGCCACTGTGGTGATGCGCTGTCAGAAAACCGCTGGGTTATGGAGTTCACACTACAGGATCAAAAGATCAACAGTATAAGATGTTCTGTCTCCGTCAGAATGACTTTTCCTTATCCCATAATAGGAAACGGTCTCTAAAATAGCCATGATGCCCAGTGAATTATTACAGCTGGCAACCAATCAGTTTTCTATTTAGCAGTTACAGAGGCAGATATGCACAAATCCAAACCACATGGTTCCTCCGTATATTAAATATCGATTCATGCTATGTAACCTTGACAGTGACACATTATATTGTGGTATTTAGCGTCATACCAGCTATATGAATTATGAAAGCTATTACTGGAATATCCATTGGCATCCTGCCTTCTAATTTGTATGCAAACCAATGAAGCCACTGAAATGCAGAAGCCTAACAGGAGAGTCTCAAGTCATACTGCTGACAACAGATTGGAGCGCCTTTGTTTGGTCCTGTGTGGCTGTCTTTTTATGTACGTATGTGAGGGCACGTATATAGATTCTGCAGTCTGATGGCGGCTCATGCGCCGTATGCTGTTCTGTACAGTGCAGACGACTGATAACCGGGCTTCTCCTCAGAGGCTAACATGGTTACACAAGCCTGGAGAGCTGTTTCAAGTAATCCAATGAGAGAGAAGAGATGAATGGGACTGGATGATTGCAGGCTGAGATTTTAAAGTGGCATAGCCTGTTGCCTGTTGCTGTTAATTCAATCACGTAACATATAAGCATTACTATCTTCCATGGTGGCAGACAGGAAATCTGATTGAGAAGATGAGAGAGGAAGGAGTGGTGTTTTTGATAGCGAGAAGTGGATTTTCTGTTAAACTAATAAAACAGACATTAAAGTTATATCAGACTAAGGTGTGCTGGGATGTATTTTGTTCTGAGAAAAAGAACTAAAGGCCTATAAATGTTGAAATATTTCCCCTACTTAAACCTAAAGCAGCAGAAATGCTTTCAAACATCTAAAGAGCTTGCTCTGTTGCTTAATTATTCTATCTTATCTCTTTTTTTTTAGCTTTATGTCTAGGTCTCCGTCTTAGCATGTAATTTTGATCAGCTATCTATCCATCATTTCTATACTAATCTCTGCCTTTGATGCTGTGTCCTCAGGACCCTAAAATCCTGTCGTCATTTGAGGCCACTGGAAAGACAGAAACAGACTTGGAGGGTTGCATCATCTGCATCTGCAGTGGCACAGACCTGGTCAATCTCAACTTCATGTTCATGGTGGCAGAGAACCCAGAGACAGCCAGGGTAAATGCATGCCCTCCCCATATTTCTGCTGCTTTATACAAACGATAAAGATGGAGTGCTGACCTTGAGATTTAATTGGAGTGTTGCAGTTTGAAATATTTTGACGATATAACAGATGTAATGGAGAGCTGTGTATGCCAATATACCATGATTTTCTTCACTCACCGTATACCTTTCAGTGACAAAAGGCACTTATGTGGCTTCCGGCTAATATCTAACTTGTGACACTTTTTGAGCGCATCATAGGTTAAAAAAAGGTGTTTTGATGAATTTAGATGGTTTTAATCAATGGCCACAAAGCATATGTTGTCTGGACAAAAATTCACTGCAAACTCCATAGACTGTATGTAAAAGA